GTTTTCAGCTCCCAGAAGGCCCCGTTCTCTGGCCTAGTGAATAGCATTTCTTTCCACCAAAGAGTGACCATTATCTATCACAATAGCCTACTTTTGCCTGTGTGCGAATGGTATTTAAATGAGTGCACACAGTATGTATTTTTATGTCTGCTTCTTCCCTTCAGATTGTCACACAACTTAAAGTCCATTCTACCGCTGATGGACATTGGGTTGCTGCTGCTGTAAGGTGACTATGAAGATTCTTGTACTGTCTTTTTTGGACAAACACATCTTTTTCTGTTGGACATTTGTCCAGGAATAGAATTTCTGGGTCTCAGGATTGCATATATCCGGTAGATACTATAAACTAGTTTTGTAAAATGTGTATTCTCTATTATATTCTCACTGGAATATATGAGTGTGTTTGTTGCTTCCCGTCTTGCTGACACTGGATATTGTCAATCCCTCCATTAGCTATTCCAGGGAGGGTGTGGAGCAGTTCCACTGTAGTTTTAACCCTAAGTATTTGTTAAATGCCTGTAAGATGGAGTATCACATAGCTATAAACAGCTGTGTTTTCAAAGATGATTTACTACTGGGGACATGCTCATGGCATGCTAGAGGTGACAAATCATACATACACTCTGTATGCAGCATATTTTTTATTTTAATGTTGTGTGTTAATACAGAGGACTAGAAGGAATTCACCAAGACAGGAATAGTTGATTCTGGATGATGGGATTAGTTTCTTTTTCCTCATTCGTTTCCATAATCCTGAGATGTTATACAATGAGCAAATATCAATTTTAAACACAGGAAAAAAATATTTTAAGAGCCTCTGCCTGAGAAAATGAACTGGCTATGTTCAGAAATGAACAGTACTTCTCAGGGCCTGTTTTCTCACCTGTAAAATGGGCCTACGCCTGACCACACACAGTGGTTGGTCCTCACCAAGGAAGCATTCAGTAAGTGACAGCTTTGGGGACATAGTGCTCCCAGGACCCCAGGGAGATAGTGCCCTCAGGGGAGAGTTAGGGGTCAGGGCAAGACAAAGAGAGGGACTTCCAGGGAGAAGGGGCAGGTTCTGCTGGATCCTGGGTTCCAGAGGGCACAGGTTAGGGGTTCAGGAGGGGGTCGCAAATGTGTGGTAGGAAATAGGACAGAAAGTGGATGTCCTAAGGCACATGGGGATCACTGTGAGGACACTGAGAGGGAACTGGCTGTCTGGGCCTTCTAGTGGTGACAGAGCGGACGGTGGTGGTGAGCCTGTGCGATGAAGGGGAGGATCTGGGCTCTCTCTTCACTCCTGACAATGGGCCTGGGGGTGGGCAGGTGCATGCTTTCTCTTTGAATCCTGAAGTGTTAGTTATCTGGGTCTGGTGACTTGAACCCACAGTAGATGGGCAACTTATTCCTGTCTCCATCATCTCACTTAGTTTCCAATTCCAGTTTAACGGTACTTATTCCCACCCTCTCACTGTGTTTCCCTGGATTCTTGGTGTTTGAGCGGTTCTGGTTTTGGTCATGTGCAAAAAGGCAGGCAGCTGCTCCAAGCCACAGGTGTTCAGATTTAATTCGGTGACGAGAGCACCTAGGTTTCAAAACTGAAAACTAAATTTTTCCTGGGGGTTGCCACGGACAGTGGGTTGGCCGCCAGCAGTGTATGTGAGCTGCTTTTTGTTTTGAACACAGCAAACACGTACTTTTTCTTTTCTATCAACTCCAGCTCATTCCAGGCCTTTCTAACATTATTCTCAGGGGTGTTTGAGACTTTCTATAATTATCCCCGGTTTACAGACCCAAACTCTCATTTTCTGCTCTCGCCTTTTAAAATTGTGAGGTTGTAGCTCCTTGTGGCCACAATAGTCTCTTTAGATGTCTCTGTCCCTTTCATCGGTGGGATAGTTTGTGATGCTATAGTCAGATTTACTTTTGAGAGATCTGGACACCGAATTGTCTTCATATTTTTCTCGTCTTTTTGTAAGCTAATCTCATAAAGTCTGAAGTATGTGTTGATATGTAGCCCTTGCTTGTGTGTATTATTAGTGGTGCCTTTTGAGAAGAAGTAGAAAAAACTCCAAGAAATGTATTAGGTTGCCTGTCAAGAAGCCTTGGGCAGTGGGGTCCACGCTGGGCAGAGCCAGCAGCTCTGCAACATGCTCAGGGCCCAGGATTTTCTATCTTTCTACCCTCAGTGTGCAGCCTTCCCCTCAGGCTAGCTTCCCTCAGGGTCCCAAGGTGGGTGTAGCAGTTTTCACCATCTTTTCCAGACAAAACAATGTCTCCTCCAAGGTCTCCTTGGGAGTGAAAACTTTCCCCAGAAACCAGGGCGCTCCTCTCAGGTCTCCTTGGCCAGGTCTGGGCCCCAGGCCCACCCCTAAACCATGGGCTTGGCCCCTGGGGCTGGGGTAAAGCCAAGGTCCCTGAGCCACGTGAGGGAGGGGCCGACAGTCCCCTTCCCGCCAAGCAAGGCAGGATGTGGGAGCAGTCCCCAGGGTCAGCCTCAATCAGTTGTCATCAGGAAAATCTAGGAGGGCACAACTATTTCCTCTGCAGGCTCCTCCCTGGGATCGCTCTCTCGGGTTCAAATTAATCCAAAAACAGCAGTTCTGTTCCTTCTGTTAACCTGTGGGAGGGTGTTATCAGCAAGCCAATGGTCAACTGTTCTCTTGGCAAATACGACATCCACATCCCTACTCCATCACTCAACGCCTGTCTCAGTATGTTCCTCAGGTAGTTTCAGAAACCGATGCCCAAACCTGAGGAAACATGCAGTTGAATCCTGTGATCCTTTTCTTTTTTCCATCATCATTCAGCTATGCCTCACCCACTTCAGCTGGCAGGTGTGCGAGGCTCCATGTGTCTTCTCACCCGAGTGCTGTTTCTACCCCGATTAAACGGATCTCTTCTGAACAACATGCACTTTTATACCTTGGTCAACAAACCCCATTGCAAACGTTGACCAAGATATGTCCTTATGTTAGTATATCCTGTTCTTGTTCTATGGTCCAAGCCATATAACCGGGTGTCTATAATCTGTATCTGAAGCCAGGTCTCACTGGTAAATTACTGGTTCCTTGATTTTTCTTCTAACCTATGGTTAATTCTTAAGACCTTCCCATTTTTTTGTTTTTTAAATTTTTACTGGGTAATAGTGTGTTTTCCCAGGACCCATCAGCTCCAAGTCAAGTAGTTGTTTCAATCTAGTTGTGGAGGGTGCATCTCAGCTCCAAGTCCACTCACCATTTTCAATCTAGTTGCGGGGGGCACACAGCCCACCATCCCATGCGGGAATTGAACTGGCAACCTTGTTAAGAGCACGCGCTCTAACTAACTGAGCCATCTGGCCGCCCACCTTCCCACTTCTTGTTGCCTTCCTTTTCAAAGCCTTTGAACATAGAATCACCCAGATGTCTTCTGACATTTTTGTAGCTATTTTCATGAAGTTTGAAGTATATGTTGAAGCTTAGAAATCACCTTCTGACAGGAAGCCTCTGATAAGTGTCTTTTGTCACGTGGGTTCTTAGGCAAATCAGTGCTCTAAATATTGATTTTAAAATAATCCTTACAACCAATAAGAATACAAAATGGGTATTATTCTTATTCTGTATATTAAAAAAAAAAAAAAGGAAGCCCAAAGATTAAATAACCAGGCCTAACTTCAAAGCCCAGCTCTTCTCGGGGGATTCTGAAATCTGAGGACCAAATGACAGTGTCAGTCAAAACACTGTTCAAATCATCAGATTCTTAAAAATGCTTCTGAGAACAATGCAGGAAAATAGCACACAAGTGAGTGGCATTCAGGAAAGAAATGCCCACAGAGGAAAAAACAGTGAGATAAGGAAGGGAATATGAGGGAAGCCAGGCTCCAGAGGACTGGAAAGACCATCTCATCTGGCCGACCACTGAGAAATGAAGAAATACCCACATTTTATGATTACGTGCAATGTCTGGACAAATGCAGCACCAACTGGCAGCTTGGGGTTCCAGCTCCCCTGATGGTCAGTCCCTACTCCCTTCTACAGTCTGTTCCTTCCTTGTGTTATTTAAATAGAGCAAAGTTCCATCACTACATTGTAGACTTCTCTCACACCAAAATAAGGCCCAAAACAAGTCTGGAGAAAATAAACATCAGATACGGAATAATGTCTGCATGTGGAACAACTACCTACACTCTAGAGCCAGTGAGAGTCTTTGCCTGAGACTTAAAACAAGTCGCTTGCAGAGCCATGTGAAGAAGTATATGGTGTGTGTTTGCTCACCCAACTCCTTTTGTATTTGGCTGAATCATAGTAGACTGACATCCCCTCTTCCCAAGTGGTGATTCACTGTCTACTCTGCGTTTCTTGAGGGTGGCCAATTAGATAAAAAGGCAGACATAAGAAATAATATGAAAAGACAGACATTGTAACATCATTGTCAAAGACCACCAAATACTAAATAAATCCATTTTCATATTCTAGTAGTGGTTTAAACTTTACTATCTGAGAATTAGAACGCTTTTAGAATTCACCCCTCCACCACGTCTGTAAAACAGCTCACAGATGGTACAGTCTCCTGAAGGAAGGGCATCAAGTGGCCAGTGGGCATAAGCTGAGGAGTCACAGACTGTCACCTACGGCCCGCATCCAAGAAACCCATTCCACCTAGGCCAGGGAAAGGGTGCCTAGAGAGCGGGCAGCAGTCTGCAGCTGTGTTTCGGCCATAATGAGAGGTTACACACGCTTCTCTCAAGCCGTCCTCCCACCCAATCACTGTTTGGCTAACAAAAGACTATATTGTGAAAATGGTAATAGAAAGAAATTGAAGACATGCCTGCGACAGTTCCCAATAAGGATGGTATGAAGGCACACTAAATTTTGGTTGATCGCTTCTCTTTGATTTTGGTAAAATATAGAAGAATAAAGACTAGCACAGTACTGATTTTACTGAAGAATGTAATAAAATAAATTGAAGATAAAAAAGAGAAAAACAGTAGAGAGATAAAGAATAGGAAAATACACCAAAATTATGCGAAGTCATTTAAAAGAAGGGTATTCTACAACAGATGAAGAAAGTTTAATTTCTTTTCACATTAGACATTGTTCACCATAATCGGCTAACAGAAATTACTTTGACAAAAGTCAAGGTGGCATAAAACAAAGGATAAATGTTATGAGATAACCTCATTTAATGTGAGTGACTATGTTAGATCCTATAGTTTTTGTGATAGCATGAGGTACAACTTATCTTGAAGAGAAAACAAACAGTTCAGGTCAAGGAGACATGCTGAGGATTTCATAGAGAAGAAAAGCTTGCCTTGCCCAGAACATTTAACAGAGTCTAGGGTAATTTAGGTAAAAGATGAGTTAGATACCAAGACTGGGCAGGGTCACGGGCCCACGATCCAGGCTTCACATCACTGGGTCTATGCAGCTCCCACCTCTCGGTAAGTGAGCTGTCATTTTTGGCAGGGGGACCTTCAGTAGGAGCCTTGGCTGTGACCAACCATAATTCAACCATCAGGCCACCCAGGGAACTGTTTTAAAAGGGATATTTGAGTATTTTCACGTTATACTGTTAAGGCATCTAAATTTTTGGTGTTTTCCATATATAATTTTACTGCTAGTTTTTTTTTTTTCATTCTGCACAACAATGATATTAAGTGACATAATTCTTTCTCTACTAATAAACAAGTTTATCCATTTTACAAACTCTAAATTGAGGTCTTGTGAAAGGGAAATTTATAATGTGGGAACACAGAGAAATATATTGAAAACCAAGAGGGACTATTTTTAACCATTGTAAAAATTCAATCACAATTAGCTGATAGTCTTTAACTTTGGAAAAACAGAAGAGTAATTAGAATTAAAGTAGGTATTAAAAATAATTGCCAGTAGTTTGTTTTACAAAAGAGGAATAGAGCCATAAGTGGCTTAATTGCCCAATTAAGTAACTACCAGATTCTTCTTTCATGAACACTAACAGAATTCACATTTGAGCTAATGAACAAAGCATATAAATATTTAACATCTCTTGAATATAACATTTAATGATAACAGAGACCACATAATTCTATGTATTGTGACTGTGCACAGATCAACCAGGTTAAATATCAAAGATACGTTGTGAATAATTCCCAAAAGTATCAATGGAATATTAATTAAATGAATTTTTTAAAGATTCAGAAATAAGCAGAAAACAATTGTAACATCGATGAGATAGTGCTTAAACAATTATCGACCTAATCAAGACCTTTAATATTACAACTGAAACGCACTACAATATTTTTTTTATTTAGTTTACAGAAAGAATCTATAAGTACAGGTTGCAGAAGGAAAACATTTAGTGCTATTTACACTCATTTTAAAACTCTGCTCTATACAAATTTCTGATCAGTATGAACAATATTTTCGTAGCTCTACTGCATAGAAAGCCTTTTCATCAATGCTTTAACAATGAGTAAAGTAACCTGATCACTCTAAACGAAGCCGACCATTTGAGACCATTTACACTCAATGTTTGTAAGGACCGTGGACGCTCATTTAAGTACAGAACGTGACAGCCTGTAACTTCATTTTTATAAAGGCTAAATTATTTATATGGAACATTGTTCTCTACGTACTACACCCCAATCTAAATTTAAGTTCTATAGTTAGGTATTTTATAAGTTTTAATTAAATATATTCTACACATATTTGTAATTTCATCCAGGAAGCATTCCTTCCTAGTGAAAAAATATAAAATCTTTTATGTTTTTACAGATTTAGATGAAACTGCTCATGCTTTAGTGCTGTGCAAATTGTTTTGAGCATATCAATTTTTAAGTTATTGGTACAAAACAAAACAGTGGCATCCTGAATCACGTATGCCTTAAAAATCAGCTTTTCATTTTAATACACAACTGCAAGCACTGATACCAAATGCAAACTACATGAAGAAACAAATTAGTTACTGTGGAGAATTTTTTAATTTTAAGAATTCATCTGAATTCTAATGAGTGAGTGTGACACTGGACACAGATGAGCAATAATTATGAAAAAAATCAAATGCTGATATTCAAATACATAAAACTGAACAGTACATGAGGTGTCCTAACATTTCTGCACAACAATGGAAGTCTATGAGTGATTGGAACTTCCCCCTCCCACATTAAGGCTAGGAAACACACTCACCCTTTTTGTGCTACATGAACAAGGTCTCGGTTACTTATAACTGGAGAGGGCACGTGTTAAAGGAAAAACCATTCGCTCATCAGATCTCTACTGAGTGCTTTAAACAGGCACATATGGTTTTTTCATTTGCTGCACTGAAGGTCGTCACCCTCCGTTTAGTGTTCTGTGCCAGTGAAGCCACCATGGCTGACTGTGGTAGAATCCACCCAACAGTTTAGTTTCTTGTCCATTTTTTCCTCTCCAGTTGGCCCAGTAATTACGGTCATTAGTTGCTGAGTGTTTTCCAGTGTGGAATTGTATATATGAGAATTTCTGGGTACCATGAACTATGCTATAAACTCTGCTGGTGAAGAAAACAATCAAACTTGTTTAGTGCAAACTGTATTTGGAACACTTGATTTGTTAGTTCTGGTGATGGCAATTTTTGTGGCAGCAAAATCATTTCTGCTATGAAAGGTAACTTGTTAACTTTTCCCCTGGAGATGGACTGCATTCAAAAACCAATGTTTTAAAACTGCTCAACTTAAACAAAAGTATTAGAAATAAAAGTCATAGTGAAACATGTTCTTGGTTCTTTTTACTTTCACAAGAAAAGATGACAGTGCTCATGTGATCACTCACTCCATGGCTTTACAGGCAGATGTGCTAAGGGTTCCTGATGCAATGTGGGGTCTCTTCTGTCCCAGCGGCATGGAAGACAAGGACGACGTCACATCACACTTAGCAGACAGTCTTTACAGGATTACACAACAGTTACTCTCTCCCGTCTTTTCCCGATTCCTCTGACCTGGGAAAATGAAGGAAAGCCTTGTCTGTAAAAATGCTCCAATTAGAGGTGGGGGGAGGAGAGCATCCAAGCTTGTTAACAAATAGGTTTCTTAATGTTTGCATTTTTAAATTAAAAAGCCATAATAAATGCCCTTTTAATCTTAGCCTGTTTCCAAAATGTCTGGTCATTTGCTTAACAAATTCTATTCATGAACTATGAAAACTTCCTTTCCCTCAGAATGGCTAGGGAAAACTGGCCATTTCTGGCTGCGTGTCTGTGGCTCAGTGGAACACGTCTCTAGAGCACGGCTCACCTTGAGAGTTTGGTTCTGGCAGTGTCTCTCTGGCCACCAAATGCATCACTGTTGTTTTGCCAAAAGGCAGTTTTAATGCTGTGTGAAAAGTAGAAGACAATTTGTTATATATACTTCAACCTATCGAAATCACTAACCAGGACTGAAACCTTTAAAACTTGATTGCTTTTTGTATGACTTCAATAGCTTGAACTTCTTACCAGATAGTGGATCTCTTAAAAAAATAAAATTAGGTTATTAATTAATATTCTGATAATATTCTAAACTTAATGTTATTACAAACAATTTTTATAATTAAGACATTCCTGTTATAGTCATTAGCTTGACATATATACCATGCTGTTTAAGGAACGGGACAAGAAAAATTCATGATTGGTTAAAACTGAAAATAATCTTTAGAGGAGAAAAGAAAAGGAATTTAAAAAATGTTTCACAGGCTGGCCGAGTGACTCAGTTGGTTAAGAACTTGCTCAAGAGTGCAAGCTCTGAGCAACAGGGTCTTCAGTTCGATTCCCACATGGGCCAATGAGCTGCGCCCAAGCTGAGCTGCGGCTGAGCTACCAACAGGTGGCAGGATGGCTCAGCTGGTGAGAGTACGTGCTCCTAACGGCAAGACTGCCTGTTCGAAGGTGGGTGACACTCGCCCACAACTAAGACTGAACTCAGCACCTTGAGCTGAGCTGCTGCCCAGATGGCTCAGTGGATAGAGCACACACTCTTAACAACAAGGCTGCTGGTTCGACTCCCACGTGGGTTGGTGGCTATGCCCACCCGCAACTAACTGAACTCAGCACCTTGAGCTGAGTGGCACAACTGGACTTGGAGCTGAGCTTGCTGCTCCCTCCACAACTAAGACTGAAGGACAACTTGGCTGTTCCCCTCCTCCAATTCCCCAATAAAAAAATTTTGAAAAAACAAAAGCAAAAACAAAAAACTGCTAAAAAAAAAATGTTTCACAGAATTTTTCTAGATATTACTGCTTTCTAGTCAAGCCTGTAAAAGATTTTCTCATTCATAAATTACAAATATTTATAAATATGAACTATTTCAGACACAGAGAGAATAATATGACACACATCCAGGTATACAGGAACTACTTAAGCACACAAAGCCATCAAGCTTCCTGGTGCCTGTTTCCTCCACCTAAGCTGGAGACAGTAATTCTATCACCTGCCCCTTAACAGTTCCATTGATTAAATGAAGCAATCCAGGGAGAGGGCTTAGTTCAGGGCTTGGCACACAGAAGGCATTCAGTAAATGTTACCACCACCACCACTATCATCATCGTTTTGAGACAGTTGGGAAATGGTCTCAGAAGACAGGTCCGTGAACTGAGATGTCAACTTAGGGAATGTTGGCCAGGCCTGGGGGAAGCAGCAGACGGCTGGCCATTTGAAGCTAAAACTTGGATTGATGAGGACTGTGATTTTCCTTCTCCACTGAATCTTGACTAGAAACAGCAGGTGCTGATACTAACAGCATCAAAGGAGCTGAAGTAAGAGGGACACGACTCCGAATGTGTTCTCTGTCCTCCCCTGGGGCCGCTTCTGTCTCTGCTGTGACACTGCACAACATCCAGAACACGCGTTTCCAACCTTCACGTGAACATCACCCAGGAGTTCACTCAGTAGCAGGTTGTCCAATGCCTGTCCAGTACAGCCAGGGAGCTACCAGTCAATTCTTAGATTAGAGTTGGTCTGTGTAACTACACAAGGAGCTGTAAAAACAACTACAGACCTAAGCAGCTCTGTTTGAAATGGCAGATATCTCTTCGTAGATATCAGCACTTTTTAGAGCAGGCATTACACTGACATTGAAACTTGGTTATGTGTGAAATATATCCTGAAATGTCCTCCCTACTCGATACTGTCATAATCATCATTGGCACTCGTGTACTCCAGCCCTGATCACACCACCTTCTAATAGCAGATTCTGTCTCTACTCTGTCATCCTGGAGCACCTTGAAGGAAGAGGTGCCTTGTCCAACCCTGGATCTCAGGGTTGGCATATAAGGAATAAATATATGCTGAATGAATGAAAATATTCCACCTTTAAGGAAAAGCAAATGTTTCATTGTTATCTTTAGAGAAAAAACTCAGACACTATTTAAACAAAGATATATTAAAGTACATCACTTCCTTTGCCTGCACATTTCTAATGATCAGAATGTTTTTGAAATACATATACTACGTAAAAGCAAAGCCTGCTGATGGTAGAAAATATATCCACAAGGGGGTACTGTTGAGCTACATTTCCCCAGTCACGTAGAAAGCAGCAATGGCTAACAAAAGTGTCTACTGTGTGCCAAACATTGTTCTAAATGCTTTGAATGTAGAAACTCATTTAACCCTCCTAACCCAGGAGGGCAGCATGACTGCTGTTCCATTTTACTCTGAGGAAACTGGGACACAAAGCACTTAAGTAACTTGTCCAAGTGAGCAGTGGAGCTCGGAGGCAACTTGGACAGTCTGGGTCTGAAATCTGCTCTTTCCATCACCACGCAGCACTGTCTCTCTCATTTACCTGTGCTCTTGCATGAATGGCAACTGTACCAGTTAAGTCAAACTGAAAACATTTCCTCAGTATTACATTTGAAAACCAATTATCAGAAACTTTTCCTAGTTTGTGTGTCTGGCTTTAACTTTAAAATATTACATCTAAGTTTTATTATCCAGAAGTAAATAAAATGACATTTATAGAACAATAGGTATGGACTCCTACCTATAATGGGATAGAGTTTATTTCACAAGGTGGTAAACACCACAGTGCTAAACTTAAATTTAACAGAATGCAAAATGTGAAGTCGAAATCAAAGAGTAGGCAGAATTCATACTGTTTGAAGTTGTAATTTTTTAGTAAAATCAGACACTAGCATTTAAACATATGGATACTGCAACCACGAGACAGACATTAAATCCCATCATGTAGGTGACCATTACCTCCTAACGTGACATTGCCATGTAGAAATCGTCCTTGATAAATAAGTCGTAGAATGTTTGGACTGCTGACCTGCTCTTCTTCCCAGTCTGAAAAGAAGCAGTGAACTTGTTAGGAGTGTTTCAACACAGAATTATGATATTAGTGCACTTTCTAAAAATCCTGATCAAAATCAGATACAATAGAATACATCAAAGACGACACTGGGAGCTTCCTCATAAGTGAAATAGTCACCACTCATGTGACCACTGCAGCCTCATTCTTGCTAGTTCTTCTCATTACATAGTAAGAGCTGCAGAAAGACTTGTTTTTGCTTCTTAAGAACACGAAAAAGTGCCAAAAGAGAGTCCTGCTGTCTAAAAATTAGAACAAGAGAATCGGGAAAAATCTAATCATGGGTAGAGAGGAATGACATTTGAAAATTAATTGCAATTACAGGTAATTAACAAAATACTATAATGCTCCAATATTTGTACCTGTTAAAATATATATTTGAGGCTGGAAACAATGTTTAACAAAGATTTTTAAAATAATGTATTTATATAGAGAATAACAAAGTAATTATACCTCAATAAAACTGGAGAACAAAAATTTTAAAAAGAGAAGAACAAAATAAATTAAGTGTTTACTTTTGAACAATAGTGATTTATTACCTTATTGTCATTTTGGAATCATTTGGTAAACATTACAGAACAACACAACTTTAATTCACTTTACCCAAAATACTTTGAAGAAACTTGAAAAATCACATTAGAAGGTACTATTACTAAACAAATATGGATGCCGGGAACGTGCACAAAGAAAATCAAACGACAAAATGGCGGGTAGGATGGGTAACAGAATAGTTCATTTCAGCCCATAACTTACAGGAAAGGATGAAACACTACACTGTTAAAATAATTATGTAAGGACACTGATAATGTGATAGGGTGCTGGGTTAGAAATGTTCCTTAGCTTGTAGATATAATAACTCCAGCTCTGATTTTGGTAGAGATTTGAGAATTCCATCATCATCCTTCTCAACAATTCTAGCGTGATGTGTTTATTTCCTACAGGACCTCCTATTATCAGGAGGTGGTAACTGTCAATACAGAGTTAAAATATACCAGAGAAGAAGTGATGGAAGAGAAAGGGGGAAAGTAGAACAATTTCCTCCTGCCTTTTGTTTTGAGTGTTCAAAATGATGAATATGAATTTGATAAACCAGCGTCTCTCAGTGACTCAGCACAGCAGAAACGGGAAGAAGCTCAGTCATTTCTCCCCCGTGCTCCCTCTCCGCCCCACACCCCCCTTTTCTCCTGCCCCTCTTCCCTCCCCCTGCCAAGCCTTTGTTGCCTTCTGACTCTAGTGCTCCCAGATCCCTCTCCTTCAGAGAACAAAGATCACATAAGCCTCTAACTCTTTAGTACGCAGTACTTCGAATCCATGGCACCCCACATTGCTTCTTAATGAATATTTCTGGTCAAGGTGGAATTGTTTTACAGATATAAAGACAAATGACAGCAATCGTCTAATTCACAGGGAAAAATATTCTAAAAATATTTGAGTATTTTTTGAGATGCAGAAACTTGAAGCAATGTATTTCTTTATGTTACAAAGAGTGTCATGATTTTCACGAACCCACTAGTTTAACATGCGATCTCCCCTTCACTCTCAGAGGATCTGAAATTTAATGCCCTGGAGAAGGACAATGCTTCAAGGAGAAATTTCAGCTAATCGTAACAAGTATTTAGTTGATTATTTTGTGGACCTCTAACCCAGTAACAGCTATGTGTCTGATTATTCCATCTGTTACCAATGTTCCAGTAAACTGCATTAAGATTATATCAAGGAAAACCAATTCCTTCCAAAAATATATTGTACGAAGTATTTTCTTCTACTGATTTAATATTTACTACACTTTTATTATTAGCAGCAGGAAATATTTACATTTGCTGACCTTTGGTGCATTATATGGTACAATGTAGAACTAGAGTTTTAACTTAGTTTATATAAAATAAAAATTAATTTTTTTATTTTTATTTCTTGCATTGTCTAAAATTGCTGAGTACAACTAGCAAACTGGGGAAAGACTGGGCTCAAAAACATTTTTTGTGAAAATAAGTACCGTAGGATTGATATAATCAATTCCACATACTGTAGCTGGCTCATTCATTTGGGAAACTATAGCACTTGACCTGCACTTGACTTTGACCTTTGTTTACCATTAGTCAGGACATTCTAAGGAATTAAAACTAATTTTAATATTCAGTCAAATGATTATAAAGGTAAAGTATTTCTTTTACCTCTTTATAATGTTGCACAAATAAAATACATTTTTGAGAAAGATTACCTATTTTTTGTCTTGTGTAATCTTTTCTATAATATCCTTAGATGTCCAAAGCTAGCCTAACCCTCTCTCTTCCCTCCAAAATCACAAAAACAATCTGTTATATCATACTTAGTAAAACATCACTATTAGGCAGGTAATTTAAAAATGCTTTTCATACTCACATTTGCCTATCCTGCCTGGCTAAGAAGAAATTCTAGAGCCCCAGGTTAGCCCACTTGGGCTTTTCTGAAATTCCTTCTCACTGCTAACCTTCAGCTTCAGGCCATCCTGATTCAGGCCTAGCGCTGTACCTCGGTTATGAATGGGAAGAGAGATCTAGTGACGTGAAAGTATCTGTCTACATCAGTGTTTCTTAAACTCGGGCCTATCAATTCACAAAGACATATTCTTAGGGTTGCAAGTCCTCTTCAAGAATTTCCAAATTGTGTTTTCATTTTAATGAAGATTTAGAGGAGATTATCTAGCTAATTCAAATAATCACTTTAAAACCCAGTGCAGCCTTGGGGTTTTAGTGCCCAGGCATACTTTTAACTTTATGACTGTACTGGCGCCCAGCAGGACTTCTTGAATTGTCAAGAGGCTAACAAGGAAAGCACAGAGGTTGACCTAACGTCCAAGATCCATTCTTGCTGAGCAAAGGCTGCATGGCACTTGGGAACGCTGTGTGAATGTGGGTTTTGTGGTGAATGTGCATAAAGCGGGGCCCTCACACAGCAAGTAGGGGCACGGGCATGCCAGCTCCACAGCACCGAGTCACAGGCAAACTGGGAGCCAGCTGTAGCAAGACACCATCTGGCACGCTGATGTTGTTGTCTGCACATTACTGGCTTTAGAATTATGTTTGGATTTTCCTTGTAGATCTGTTTTAGTTTTACGATTGTAGAAGAGTTAATACAAGTTTAAACTGGGTTTTATGTTTCTATTTTTAAAAATAAACATTATGATAAAATAATTTAGTCAGCACTAGGGAACCTACAAGGATTTTCTTCCTCTAAAAGCGTCCCATATATTATTTGAGGTTGAGAGACACTGATCTAATTTATTCATTTTGTATACACTGTCCTTTGTTGAAACAAGTCTTGTCCTTTACAAGTCCAAATTGCTTTGACGAGTACAATTAAGTGAAATCAGCTGAAAGGCCTATCACTTTGGTGCATGCTATAAAAAAGGACAAGATGATGTGGGGAAAGTTCAAAGGAAGAACATGAGCTAAAGACTCACGTTAGGATGGCAAGACAGTCTTATTACATACAAAAAAACTGGAGAAAAGGAATAACACACACACACCACAATTTTGGTGTCATGGATACTGCCTTAAAAATGAAAAGCATAAATGGATTTTATACCTTCTTGATTTTGTAGTAGTTTAGAGAACACATAAAGTAACAAGAATTAGAAATTAACTTTGTGTCAAACTCAATTTAAAATAAGCTATGTATAGAATAGACCAAAGAGAACGTATTATAATTTGTTAATGGTAGTTTTTCTTTCCTTTTACTTTGTGTCTTATGAATAGGTTTACTGATATGAGTGTGTGTGTGTGTGTGTGTGTGTGTGTGTGTGTGTGTGTGTGTGTGTGAGAGCTACATTTTGTTTTTCTTTAAAAATTTTTTTCATTTACATTAAGCAGCTCTAAATCAAAAACAGGGACTCTGTACTGTGGCTCCTTTACCATTTTGCAGTGAGGTAGCTGAAGAGCAAAATCGATGGAAGGATGCAGTGATTCCCTTTAACTTGGAGCCTTCTACCCTCAATTGTTTGTTTTCTTTTATATCTTATATCTGTATTTATAACTTTTTCAAAATGTTTGTGAAACAAGGTAGGGCATAAAGAATTAACATTATTCATTCTCAAGAGGGAAACACCACTCACCCATTGGCCAGTTGTCATACACATGCTTTGCGATGTCAGAAGCAGAATCATTGGGAGAAAACAGGAACTCTTTTGTTTTCCCGCTTACCAAGATGAGGCGCAAATTTATCTGAAAGAAGACAATGATTCTTTTAACATAAATCTTGACATTTTTAAAGTAATAAACGACTCAGGTTTTCATTTCACATTTTAAATTATTACTAATGCCATTTTCTCATTTTTATTTACTTAAATTCTGCAAAGATTTTTTTAAAGAATGATTTAAAGAATTTGATATTTTATTTCTAGTGTTTAATATATAGATATATTTCCCTCAACAAATGAACAAACGAAAACCAAAATTATTATTCTTTTAAATGTAATTATCCCAGTAATGTCCAGAATTGGACTTCTACAGGTTATCACATTACTGTAAAATACATATTTTCCATTGAAAAACTAATAAAAGTGGTGACCCTGCAAATCATGAAACAGAAAAAAAAAATTTAGCTCATAATCTGGTTCTTAGAAAAAAAGAGAAAACAATAGATTATATACAATGTTTTTATCCTATAAAACTTATTCAAACCTAAACAAATTAACCAGGAATTATAATTTTAAAGAACTTTTTTATGGTTAATAGAGGAGTCAATAAATAGTAGTTACTTTAATCCCAAAGATCATGTCTTTTCTTGGGAGAGGGAGGAGGAGTTACGTGTGACCAAGAACATAGATTCATTCACTGTCAGTGAAAAACCTAAGGTGAATAACAGAATAGAAATTCTTGGGATCCACTGGAATTACATGTCCAAGTCTATAAATATATTTTCTTATATGCCATTCTTAACACATTTTCCAAAATGTTCACTTTTTAATTTTTATCTTTATCCATAATTAACTTGATATTATCTTTTTAAAACCATGATATCCATTCACTTCCCTGTAAATTACAGAAATACAAACATGGTTTTCTATACTTCTGGGCTTCTGTTAAGAGAGCAAATATGACCTTCCTAAAAGTTGGGTCCAGTCCAGAGCCGAGCCCTGGGACTCGTCTCGCTTCTTTATATATAAAGAACAGAGAATGTCATTGTGCCAGTTTGAACTGTGCCAGGTCCCAGGTTACCCAAACTCTCATCTTCAGTTACCAATATATATATATTGCTTATAAAAAAAACACCAGAAAATCTTTTAAGACAGCAAAGTCTACAATAAATAAATGGTGCGAGCTGTAGCACCATCAACATACCAGGTCACGGACTGACTACCTACCACCACCATGGCCAATGCCACTCCCAATATCTCACCATTTTGAAAATGTGCTGAAAGTTATAAAATATCTCCTCTAGAAAAATGCTACACACGAACAATTCTGCATTCAATGGGATGTGACCAGATTCCACACTAGATGGAGTAGAACTGGATTCCATATTAGAATCTACATTATATCTCAATAAAAAGTTTTTCAAAGTTAAAAAAAATAGAAATCTATATTCCAGGAGAAAAGCTCTTTCAATATGTCTAGTAAGAATGTCTTGCTGCCTTTTCTAACTAGAATGAAATTAGACCAAAGAGCTTAATACAGGAAGTGATTTGATGAAATCACACTGATGTAAAGAAGTGATACGATCCAGGTTCTATTTGAACTAAATTCAAGTAGGGGTTTGCCAGAATGATTAAACTGTAAGAAAGCACCACCTTATTTATTTCCTATAACCAACAAGTAATGGATGATTCTTAAAGTACGGAACCCAACATCTGTACAATACAATGTGAACCTTGTGTACAGCACCATTCATGGCTGTCCCATATGTGAGAATACTGATACATATATATTATGCTCTGAACTTATATGGAATCTTCTAATGGCTTCAAGCTACTGTAGAAGGGCCCTTTAGTCATTAATGCCCAAGAAATTATGACCCTCATAACAGTTTAGCCATAGATGTTTGTTTAACCAGAAAGAAATATAACTTAATTCAACCTTTGTAAGAGTTATGTAAATGATATGAACCTACTATTTCTTGGAGTTGTCTAAGTTTAAAATTAATTTCTACTGGGCTTTTATTCAAATTATAATATTTAAAAATAACAACAACAAAAAACCAATCTAATCCTTAGAAACTGTAATGGTGGGAGACATCAAACCATATTTTAGATTTTCCCTAACATTCATCAATGTGGAGATAAAAAAATAAATGAGCATATACATCCTTACAATGCAAAATGGCACAGCTGTTAAATGACATGACATACAGGTCTACATGATGTGGCATGGAAAGGTGTCCACAATATATTAAACAGTAAACAACAAATGCACTCCATCCCATAAGTGCATAACACTAACTGGGTCCATCCTGCAAAGTTCTCAGTATTTCCTTTTTTAAAACTGGTAACATATCACTATCACCAATAAACTGACATTTCACTTTCGCATTTCAAAATAAATGGTCTAATGAATTTATGTTCATCTCGATGCTCAGAATGTTGGACATCTGGGGGCTCTAGATGTGCTTGACACAGGTTAAAAAATATTTTTAAAAAATGTTTATAGGTGGGCATGACCATTTTAGTCTGACACATACCCTGCCAATCAATCCCTGCGTAATCACAGTGGCCTGCTTCATACACTTGCACCTTCCTGGCCCTAAAAAACATTTAAGTTTGTAACTCATGGCAGAGTATGAAAGTGGCTTTGGGCTACAAAATGAGAACAAAAAGCAGGATAAGATTTTAAAATCTACTTAGAGGGAATCTAATCACCCCTCTGGGTAGAGAAGGGGAAAATATGACAAATACATAAATCTAAGAATTTATCAAATCTTGGGAGCAGCGGGTTAGCTAAGTTGGTTAGAGCGCAGTGCACATAACACCAAGGTTGCCATTTCGATCCCCACATGGGCCACTGAGATGCGCCCTCCACAACTAGATTGAAACAACTACTTGACTCAGAGCTGATGGGTCCTGGAAAAACACACTGCTCCTCAACTAAAAAAAAAAAAAAAAATTTATCAAATCTTATAGTTAAAACTACCCCAAACTGACAATAACAGATAAAGACTATTTCAGGAAATAAGCTTATGTCCCCAATTTAAAATAACAGTAATAGGGCCGGCTGAGTGGCGCGATGGTTAAGAACTGGCTTGGGATGCCAGAGGGCCCCGGTTCGGATCCCACATATGAGGGCCAGTGACACTGCCCTCCACAGCTAAGATGCTGAACAACAGCTCAACTTGGAGCTGGGCTGCCGGGAGTCGCCGGCGACGGCATAGGCTGCAGCCCCTGCTGCCGTGGGTTGCCATGGGCTACCATTTGTAGCCAGCAGCCAGCGTGAGCGGCCAGCAGCTGCAGTGAGCAGCCGTCCAGAAGCCGGCGACTGATCTGCCTCGCCTGGGAAGAGTGCAATGATGGTGCCAACTTGGGCCAGTGAAGCAACGTCCTCCACAACTAGACTGAAGACCAAAAGGACAGCAACTTGTCTGTTCCCCTTCCCCCAATTCCCCAGTACTGTTCCCATCCCCCAATTCCCCAATTAAAAAAAAAATCTTAAAAAAAGATAAAAATAAAAATAAAAAAATAAAATAAAATAACAGTAATAAACCCATAGAATTAAAGTAACACAGTGTGGGAAACACTTCCAGTGCCTGGGACATAGGTGTTCACCAATATTTGTTGACGAATATTTCAGCTTTTCTAGTTAAAGATGCAAACGGAAATGTCGGCTGGAAAGGTCAGCACTAAGATTCCAATCTAGGCCTTAGTATTCTGGGCTTTTTCTCAAGCATTATGTAGAAGAGGGCTGGATAACAGTAAATTTGGGGTAGTGATGTGGAGATGAGGATAGTTCCAACATGCAAACACCTCACTGTGTGATTTGTCAGGCTCCATCTTTACTGTCAGCAACATGCCACCGTTTATAAGTGCTATCACTTAGTAGGGCATTTTGAAAAGTAAAATGAAGTGAGCTACCATATTAACATGTCTACTAAGCCTGGTTTTTAAATGAAGATAAAGACTGGTTATTGACATGGAAGATTAGCAGTGAGTCTGGACTTGTTCCTGTGCTTATACCTATGTGACCACTTCGCTCCTAGACTAGAGCATGAATCTGCCTCAGTAAGCAGTCAAGCAAGTGTGTTGTTAAACAAAAAACTTTCATGCTGAAAGCTTTTCTGAAAGAAAGGACTTATGGAACCACAAGCTAACCAGAAAGGATGGGTCCTGGGGCATGCAGTCTAAGACACCAGCTGCAGGGCTGGATGGAGTGACAAACATGTCCCTGGGATTGATAGGGCTCTTTTATGCAAACAGTTTGGGAAGAAAGAGGTAGTTGTTTAGAAAGAATTGACATTGGCTATGGATAAAGGGGGCGGGAGGTGAGGCGGGGCCAGCTCTGGGATAGGTGCAGAGTCCATAACAGTTTGCTCCTTTGGATTGGCTGTGGGCAGCAGTCCCAAAGGGTGATGTGTAAGCAGGCTGCGGTGGTTGCCTGGTAGTTGGCTATTCTCTCTAGATAACTGTAAACAGCCACCTGGAGGTTAATTCAAAGTTCCAACACCCATTCAGGAATGTAAGCAGGCTTTGTTGGTTCCGCAGATAGTTGCTAACCCACTAAACCCTTCTGCCTCTTCCTTCCACCTTCCAGCCTGGTGTAATTTAATTTAGAACACCTCAGAATTTCTTTCTTGTCAGTATTTTAGGACTGTAATACCAATGGAGGAAAACACTAAATTCCCATAATTTCCTTTAGAAGAAATCTTGAAAGCAATCACCCAGATGAACATCTGGATACACAGGTTGGTCAGTAGTTAATTGCTCCTATGTTATAGTAAGAATCTTTTCAGGTTTATTCAGATAAATAACATCAATTTCAGCCCTTCTCAGTAAATGTGTGGTAATTCCTACAAATGTAAGCTAGTTTCCCCTAAAAGATTATGTACCAATTATTTAAGTATTTATTAATGAAAGGCCTTTTGACTTATTCGAAGCCAGGCTAAGTCAATCTATAAAATACCTTAAAAGAACCTCTGCTTGCAAGGTAGTGGGATTCTCAACATATCAACGAGTTAAAAACAAGACTCTTATTAACACCTTAAAATGTGATACACTCCATGTGCATACTTGTCTAAA